AAAAAAAAAAAAAAAAACGAAAGACGCGATAATAACGATAATACGCGTCGTGAATCACACATCGAGTCACAAAAGAAATATCAATTATCAAATAAATAAATAAATAAATAATACCGGTAGTTTCGGGTTGAGAGGCAATCACCAAACGCCACATGTGTACCGTTGTACCTTGTTGCGTTCTTTCCAACACAACTATGTAGAACGGTTCCTCGAAGATGGCAGATTGTTGCAGATCCACCATAGCGTCCAACGTAGACTCCATCAGCCCCAAGTCATTTATCGACGTATCTACGCCAGTTTGTTTGTCATCGTTTCGATCCCCCGTAATCAATTGCTCTTGGAATACGTGCAAGAATTGCGTATTTTGCCAGTCCTACGTTCACGTCAACAATAGAAAAACGATCCATCAAAAACGTCCATTTATTTAGTTCGACCTTTTATCGCTCTTACACTCTGTTTCTGCTCTCTGTTTCTTCAAATCACTTACATGCGTAGCGTCAGAAATGGCATCCAACTGTATGACGCAACCTGGCCTAGCTGTAGACTGTTGCGATACGATTTTTATTCTATCGTGAATCGAATGTCTCATACTGTCGTCCGACGACATGTCTGTCGAGAGGCTTGCCATGGAATCCTGAATGGACAACAGAACGACAGAGATTCGATTCGTAACGCAACTGTTACCCAATTATTTATTATTTATTTCTCCACGCGTCTCCTCCACTTACATACGATACGATACTATACAATACTATACATACTATATATATATACTGACCATCATTCTACTCCGTCTTTCGCTAATCGATACCTCCGCCAGCAGTGTTCTAGCGTCGATAACCGCTTGATACACCCTCAAACATTCGCCATCGCTGGCGACGAAACACGCGCTCGGTGAATTCGACAAATTACCCAAGGTGGTGCTTGGTAACAACGTTGGAATCCAAGCTACGTTACTGAACGCTGAAATTTCAGGGGAATTAATACGCGCTAGTTCGGATACTCCGCCGCTCTTCGACAAAGGCCCGACCGTGTCCACCCGCCAAAGTATCAATTCGCTGCAAAATCCCTAAAATCATATCAATCAAACGAGGTCGTATCACCTACCGGTCAGATTATCGCCTACCCCTCTCCTTTCAACTATCGTATCGAATCGTACGATTTCACTTGACGCAATAAAACGCATCAATATCGTCATTCAGTGTCATTATTATTATTATTATTATTATTAT